CAGGTATTGAAACTGCCAGATGTTTGTGGGATGTGTGTTGGTATACTGACAGGGAGAGAGTCTTTGCACGAGCTCATTTAAAACTGCTCAGAGCTTGTCTACATCTGAGCTAAATGCTTGTAATTTAACATCCAGCTCTGAATGCATTTCCTGACAATGGTTTGCAAGAGGAAGTGACACAGAATACCCTGAACGAGTCAAGACAAAGAGTGTGACATAAAAGAAGTGGTTTGTTTTATTTGATAGTTATTCTGTGCTAATTTCCTGTGGGCTTTTCATGTTGTTCATCTCACAGACTATTTGAAATCGTTTAAAGGGCACCACACAATAGGTATTTAGAAATAAGTCTCATGAAACAAGTCTGCTTTGATTTGGTCACTTCAAAGAGTACACATACATGAGATAAAACCTACAATGTATCCTTAAAAAAGAAGCAGTAAATCTGCACAAAAACAGCGACTGTTGCAAACTTGCTATGTTATAGGTTTTAACCACATCCTGTAAAAACCTCACTTAAAGTTCAGTAAGTGGAAAATAAGACAACCTTCGCACATTGGAGTTGTTGCAACTATCAAAACGAGTAGGTTAGTGCACAAAAAAGTTGCAATTTGCAGCAGTATCAACTCAATATCATGCAAAGCATGTAATAGACACACCGGTCCACTGTGTAAATGAGAAATGAACTGGTTCTGGTTCTTACAGTGCTTTTCTACTCTGAGCACTCAAAAAAACTTAACACAACTTGCCTCATTTACCCATTCACACAAGCTACTGCTCCACCACATGAGCTACCACAATTCATGCTTTGCCTCTCCAAAGTGTGAAATGGCTATGCTTGCAGACGTTGAGAATACAGACCATACACGCATCAGGCTACTAATTCTTAAGCTACTGCACAACTGAAAAATTAGATACCTCAAGGAGAATTGCTCTTCATGAGACAACAATGTATTGTTTCAATTAGAAATGAACACAATTTTAAATGACATGTAATATTTATGCTGTTATATATCTACAAATAATGCTAATAAAAAAATTACACACTAAAGATAAAGAAATATTTAAGAAAAGGTCAACAAAAATTCATCCATCCATCCGACGGGCAATTTTGTGTTTCCAATTAACCTAACTCTATAAACAAAACAAAAAACAACAACAACAAAATGTTTGTAAAAAAAAACAAAGATAGAAATAAACTGTCTTGATGCTCGCTCAATCATCCAGGTAAGTAAAGGTTGATTCTGTTCATCTAGGTGTAGCATCTTCAATGGGAGAAACGTTTTGTTACTCATCCCAGTGACATTAAAAAACGTGCAGATGAACAGAATCAACCTTTGGGATAATAATAAAGTTTTTTTTTTAAAATAATCATTAAAAATATATTTAATTGTACTAATCGAGTGTAACATTAAAATGTTACATTGTTTTGTACTTGTAGTGTAATTGTTTTGTTCCTTTTTTCCTTTTCTGTTTATATTTTTCATTGTATTTCCCTTAATTGATTATTTACATATTCTAAAAAAAAACGTTTCTTGATTGTGTAATCCAATCACTGCACCACGGTTATTGACCAATAACAAGCCAAAGTTGGGCGATATGAGAGGAGACACTTGTCTTTGGGGAAGAGTGTCTGTAGTTCAATACAAACTTATTCTGGGTGATCATGTTTATTGTTTGATCAAATATTTTATCCTAATGAGATTCGTCTATTTTAGATGCTAAATCCTCCATTCCCAGGACACACGGGCTTACTGAGTGATTTCATGAGGATATAAATAATGTGAATTATGCTGTTACCGTCACAGTCACCAGATCTCAACCTCGCTTAACACACATTAAGATTTAGGACGTATGCATTATTATTATTGACAAACGTCATGGTCTAAAACTTTAGAGCATTATATATATATTTCTGATATATGTGTAATTAAGATATATCTGTGATTCATGTGTATATTGGAAGAGCAGATGGATTATTGTTGAGTCATTAGAGGGTCACAGAGATAGCTTACAAATACCTGATGAAGTTGGGAGGCTTACCTCTGCCTGTGGTCACCTACTCTACTGTATATCTGTCTCTTTTAGTATGGAATCGTTCTGGATGCAGGCTCATCCCACACCTCCATGTATATCTACAAATGGCCGGCTGACAAGCAGAACAATACCGGCATCGTTACCCAGCACGATGAGTGTCATGTAGAAGGTGAGTTCATTTGCATTGTTCAACACAAAGTTGATCAAATGAGAACTCAAGCATTACTTTAACTCGTGGTTTGAGTGGTAGATGTGGGCAACCGCATATACTCAGAATCAGATAAGGGCGACACGGGCGGTTGCCCGGGGCAGCATCGTGGTGGGGGG